CTGAGAATCTTCAAAAAATGCTCGTGAGGATAGGATAGTAGTGAACATTTTATGTAACTGTGACTTGTCGGTCTTTCGCATTGATCCTTTCTCGTCGAACAAACTAAGTGGAACAGGAGACATTTCGTAGTCGAAGCAAGATTTACTCAACTCTTTCCTACAGACAGACGTTGAAATAATAGAGAGGTATCAACAGTGACAGTGGAAGACATAGCTTTTTGAGATTGTGTCCGTGCAAAGTCCAAATTCATGATCTTGTACAATTTTGACAGCGACACCTTTTCATAAGTGCGTCCAACTATATGACCCATTGCTTGTGTGCCACGCTCGAAAGCCATATGACAATTTATTTCCACACCACCAACAACTCCAATTGACAGCGAAATTAATTCCTCGCGGACTTTGAATGGTTCATGCCCCTTCAACCAAGTAACGAATGAGGCAATGTCCTTTGCGTCCCATGCTTTTCGTCCTTTGCCCAAATCAACATGCTGCTCACTGTTTCTCGTCTCCAGGTTACAATACTCTTCCAATGCTTGCATCACATGCACGGCGCAAGGCATCCCCAGCAAATATCGAGACACGACACTCCGCGTAACACCTCTTCCGTGTTTCAAGTCAGTCCCAAAAAACCTATTCAATGTCTGCTCGATTGTCATGTCACTCCAGATTCCGGACCAAGCCTTATCCGACCTGTAGATAGTGAAATAACCCTGCGTGGCAAACTGGTGAAACTCTTGAGGATCCATGATGTCCTGTAGAAGTACCATATCCTGCAAATAAATCTGAGCTGCTTTTGCATATTGAAAATGTCCCGCGGCATGAAACAATGGCAACATTCTTCGAACGCAATCAAGATGAAGGTCCCAGTTTCCAAGACGTTCTGCTTCAATAAAACGCAAGACAATAAGCACGGCTTCAATGTACTGCACCCACAACTTGGCTGTTGGGCCGTTATTTTTCAATTGCTTCAACTTTGTATAAAACAAATCCGACATTTTCTTCAGGTCCTTATCAGAGTCACTGTCCCCTAGCTTGAGAGGATTTTTCTGCCAGACACGCATCAATGATGCGATAACCCCTTTGATCTCGCCTTTTTCTTCGATTGAATCACAAATTACGATGCCTAAAGCTGTAAACGTCAAAATGTGTGCTCGGACTGCTCTTGAATAATTGTGCCCGTCCATCATTTTCTTTATGGATTCACTAGCGTAAGCAAGCTCCCACATAGATTCAAGTCCGCTTCCTCCCATGATAATACCTATTGCTCCCAAAAAAGACATTAACATGTGGAATCCGCCTAAGCGTACAAAAACGTCGGGCAACATTAACTTCGCTATAATATCGCGACATTTCATGTACAATGGCAAGTCGTAAGTTAAGATAGTGGTTTTTTGACCACATTTACGGGTTTCGCTCTTTGCATGCATAATTGATGTATAAATGGTTGTTAGACTAGATGGAACTTCGTTAATGAATTGTTGGCATTGCACCCCCGACCTTTGGAAACTTTCATTTTCCGAACATACATATCTCCATGAAACCTCGCCATGCTGGTACATTCTCAGGATCAACGTATTTAGCCCACAAATAAGTTGAGTAAGTAGGGGGGAATAGAGGCATGTCGACCATGGTCAGTAAATTTGTATCGATGAATTCTATAAGTTTCAAGCCCTCTTTTGGCGGCTCGACGTAAGGGAAGATTGGAATTTGTTCTTGCTTTGCAAGGATATTTGCGGAAGGCATCTCAGTAAGTTTTTCGACACTTCCACATTGTGTGATTTCGTGCTCCGGAGTGTAAACCTGTATTCCGCCTAAACAATGGAAAGTCTCCCGTCCGTCCAGGGTCCTGACGTTGTGGTCAGTATTATCAAATACAAATTGTACGAAAGGTTTTTCGATGATCAATCTGGGTGGATTCACTATTGTTGAAGCCTCATACAATTCAATATTGTAGTAAGAAGTGCAAACGCCTAATGCATGCAGAAGATTTATGATGTACTTGGAACCTGTTTTTCTCAGAATCAATGTCCCAATCGACAAGTGGAGGGTGAACAAAAACGTACGTGGCTGAATGAATGAAAGTATGCATTGAGATATCATGTCTCGCTTCACAGACTTTGCTCTTTTATCTTCCTCTTCGTCAGCGATAAGGAGAAAGTGCTCAATAAAGAACGAAAAGTGGGGTGGATAATCGGAGGAAAGATCGCTTACAAATTGATTGGACGGTGGGTACTTATACTTATCGCTTACAAATTGCTTGCTACGAATCTCTCTGTGCATTATATTTGAGGCCTGAAGCAAAATAACTTGTATCTGCCCTTCTGTGAAAGTTGATGGGTCTGCTGACATATTAAAAGCATGATGACTTTTGAAGCATACACCTATATCTTTTCCCCCCATTATACTGCACGCAACTTCCTCACCGTAACGTTTTTTAATGTGATCTGCTACAGTCCTTCTATCTATAGAGTCATCATCCACAACAATCTACTAACTTCGACAAATAATGAATAACATTTTTGTCTTCTTCAAGAACTTGCCACACAGGTTCTAACAATGAATCGATTCTAGACCAGTTTAGATCATCGATATTTTTTTTAAACCATACGCATTGAAATGAGACATGCATGTCCGGTGGTATCTGCCTTGTACGCGAATTAAGCAAGAAATGTTCTCTAATCTTTCAACAACGCTAATTCCCAAAGAGTCATTTCTTTCCTTTCCCATTGCAATCAAGTTATCACGCGTCTCTTTTTGTGTGACTGTACAGATTTTTGTTTTGGCATCTTTTATTATACTCAAACCACAAATGAAGCAATTATCCGCTTAATGGAAATCAGGAACCTTGCAGCTACGACATTGTTATTTGGTGCATTCAACGCAAAATGCTGAGTATACGTTCCACTGACCGAGTATGAAAGTCTACTCTTCTCATGGCAGTCCAGTTTTTCCTTTTTTTCCCAATCCAACCATTTTTTGTCTTCCACGCGTTTGCTCTGTGTGATCAGTGTACTAATTCCCTTCTTCCCCACGATCCTGCAATTGCCGCGCGCCAACGGATAACTGCAAATGGCGCAGTTACTATTTTGCTGCATTTTAGTCCTATTGAATAACAGAAACAATTTCAGTGAGAATCGGTATCCAGTAAGTGTAATGCAATTTTCGATCCAGTCAGTCTAATTTGTCTGATTTTTGTTATTAATATCAGAACATAGTGCTAATGGAATTCCAAGACATGCTGAATTTTGGACAACATATACTTATTATTAAAAAATACTATACTAACATTGGAAAATGAAAACAAATTTCGTTAAAAAATCCATGGCGGATAACTTTTCGAATTTTAGGTTGGCTTTGTCCTTAATTCCTTGTCTCCAATGAAATTACGGAAAAAAAGTATTTAATTTCAATTCTAAAATGTACACATACTTACCTCACTTATCCAGTCAATCGACAAGCAATTGAAGGGAAATTACTCCACATACTTAAACGCATAAACTTAGAAAATTAGTTCTTTCGTAAAAGTCGGTGAACGCCAAACTGACAAGGGAGCTCAGGGTTCGAAATTCAACTCTACTATTACTGAATAACCCCTACCATATAGTAAGTGATCGTCTGCGTCGTCAACGCGTAGGCGGTGTGGCGGCAGCTTGGTGGTATGCAGGTACGCCGCCTCTGTCCCCGCAAACCCCCTCGCCCATAAGCCATCAGCAAGCTGTAGCGCGAAAACTAAGCAATTTAGCGAAAAATTTGTAGAGACCTTTATTGATGGCCCAAAAATTAGAAAAATTTACGTGTAAAAAAATCCCAGATATCCTCTTTTTCGCTGATTTACAAAAAACGGCTGGTTTCCGGAAAACCAAATTCATACAACAATATTCGCAATCCTTTATTACACCATTACGCCAGCGGAAATAACTTTGTGGCTATGTTATCACTTTTGTCTCAGTTTCGGCTATTTAACTGGCCTAATGAGGTTCATACACAGCAGCCAAAAAAATTAAATGTTTGGGCCGGTATTTTTGGCGATCATTTAGTTGGTCCTTTTTTCTTACCTGAAAATTTGACCGGTGAAATGTATTTGGAATTGCTGAAAGACGCCATAGATCCTGCATTGAAAATCAGAATGATCGGTGATACATTGCGAATAGGTTGATGTTCCAACAGGATGTTGCCCCACCACATTACGCATTACGTGTTCGCCAATATTTAGATCAGATGTTTCCAGATCAATGGATTGGTAGAAGACGTGCCATTGATGGCCCCCAAAATCGCCAGATTTATCACCTTTGGATTTCTTTATGTGGGGTCATTTAAAAAGCAAAATCTATGCTACTCAGCCAATATAATAAGAAGACCTGTGACAAAGAATTGTGAATGAGTGCCTTCAAATTACTCGTCAAATATTGCAAAATGTGCGGCAACGTTTTGAGCAAAATCTTTATTATTGCATGGAGAGTCATGGTAGCCATTTTCAATATTTACCTTGCCTAACGGGTCAGTTCATTCTTCATTTTTAAACTACTTTGCTGCCAAATGTATTGATCTTCACTAATGTTGATGTATTAGTTTTATTTAAGCTTTAAATCAATAAATCTTCAAAACTACTGAAGTGAAGTACATTAATTTTATATCATTATAATGGGAATTGGAAGACCTTTAAAATAAGGTATCACTCGACCCCACCCCCTTTCCATTTAAGATTTTAGGGGTGGTGTCACCCCCGCTTAGGGGGCTGCACGTGCTAACGTGATCTTTTGCCAAACTTGTGTCCCCTTCGAAAACAAAATCGACGGGTCTGAGCGTTTTAAAAAAAAAAACGAGCTGTCAGTAAATGCGTCTGTTTCGTTTTCGATGCGCCACCCTGTATATCCTTATCATAGGAGAGCACTGACGCTAACACGGATCAGAAGAAATCTTGAAATACCACCGCCTTTCTGAAAGAAAAAATACTATGAAAATACGACTACGATCCGGCCGTTAATAAAAGACACAGATATAAGAACAATTATATTCGGGATGTTGGTTCAAACTTTGACTTAAAAACCAATAACATCTATTACAGAACATATAGTAACAATAATTAAAGAAACAGTACTGGTAACAGCCGAATCAGTATCATCAGACGGAATACCATAGTAATTCTGAAGATCCCTTTCCACTTGCTTTTTCCATTTCAAATTGGCTTCAGCCTTCTCCAAGGCTGCATTGCCGCTTTCCTTGTGTTCTGCGTCCAGGTTCGTAACCAAATTTTTCAACTAAAATATAAAAAATATAGATACAGAACACAAAAGAATAATGCGACAAGTTCTTATATAATATGTGCTATGGAGATGTAGACTCCTACTAGAAATCCGTTTTTGTCAAATAACATTTGAAGTATGCGCAATTAACAACTAGAAGTTGAATAAGTGGTATGAAAGTTTATACTCTGGAGATTTTTGGGTCCGTCATTTTATCAATATGACATAACAGCAGTATTAGTTACTTTTTCATATCAGAATTTCGGATGACGATGAAATTACACGTGTACTGATACCGCAAATTGGTCGCAATGATTGATTTTACTATACGAGGGTGGTCCCAGAAGTGCCCGGCCTGACCTAGAGATGGCGATAGTGGTGTGAAAAATATCATTTCCATATTAGAAAGTATGCAACCTATAAAGCATATGTGTCAAGTTTGAAGACGCCGCGTTGTTTAGTATTTGTTTGGCAGCCATCAATACTGAACGTTTTCAGTGAATTTGTGAAAATGGAGAAGATTGGTCATCGTTATGTGGTACAATACTTTTATTTCAAAAACCTCAGCCCAACCAATATAAAAGCTGAACTGGATTCTACTCTGGGTGAGTCTGCTCCTTCGTTTACAACAGTAAAATATTGGGTAGCAGAATTTAAACGAGGCCGTATGAGCTGCCAAGACGAGCATCGCAGTGGTCGACCAAATGAGGTGACGACTCCAGAAATGGTGAAGAAAATTCACAAAGCGGTACTGAATGATCGTCGACTGAAAGTGCTCAAGCTAGCAGACACAGTAGACATTTCAAAAACTGCGGTTCATCGCATATTATCTGAAAACTTGGACATGAGGAAGCTGTGTGCAAGACGGGTGTCGCGACTGCTCGCAATCGAGCAAATACAGTGTCGTGAAGATGCTTCAATTGAGTGTTTAGCGAAGTTTCACAGCAACAAAGCAGAATTTTTGCGTCGTTTCATAACCATGGATGAAACATGGGTCCATCACTTCGCACCCGAGACAAAAGAACAATCAAAACAATGGACTCAAAAGGGACAACCGGCTCCAAAGAAGGCGAAGACCGTTTCATCTGCAGGCAAGGTTATGGCGTCGGTTTTTTGGGATGCGCGTAGGATAATTTTCATTGGCTATCTTGAAAAAGGTAAAACGATCAACGGCGAGTATTATGCGAACTTATTGCAACGTTTGAGCAATGAAATCAAGCAAAAACAGCCGCATTTGGTTAAGAAGAAAGTGTTGTTTCATCGAGACAATGCACCAGCTCACAAATCCGTTATTGCAATGGCCAAAATTAACGAATTAAATTTTGAATTGCTACCTCATGCAGATTTCGCCCCCTCGGATTATTTTCTGTTTCCAAACTTGAAGAAATGGCTCAGTGGCCAAAGATTTTCCAACGGTGAAGAAATGATGTCGGCAATTAATGGCTATTTTGAGGAGCAAGACAGTTCTTATTATAAAAAGGGTATCGAACTTATTGAACATCGCTTGGAAAAGTGTATAGAGCTCAAGGAGATTATGTTGAATAATACATACATTTTTTTACAAAAATTTTGTGTTTTCTTCGTTGGGTCGGGTTCTTTTGGGACCACCCTCGTATTAATAAACTTCCAACCCTACATTTCTATGCACCTATCAGACATATTTCATACGTCATATATTTCCCCGTACATTGGCACTTAAAAATATTATAAGCCGACAGATCACGTACCTGGTCGCACTTGTCGTGTACGACTAGGTTGTAAATATTGCATCTTTGGCAGTGGATTCACGGGACTTATATCATCACATAGATTAAGCTTGCGTTTATTTCAATGAGATTACTTGATTAAAAATTGTTGACGAGCCCAAATGGTGCACTAAAGTTTCCGATATCTGCCCACATAACTCTCTCAACCTTTTCGCTGACATACCGCAAGAATATTAACTCAAAGCTGCACAGCTTTCAACCAGAAGCCTCTCCGTCGTCGATATCAAGGTATAAATAAATATCTTGTGAGCTGTTTCACTTTCCACACTATAGAGTAGCGGGAAAAAGTTTGAAAATGAATATTAACATTATTATGAACTATTTCATATACCTAAATTAAAACTGAGAAGGAACCGATAATATAAATATTAAAGTCGTTCCCGTAGTAATACAAAGTTTATCTGATCAATATTCAAATTTTCTGAAAGTAAAAACGCGCGTTTTTTAAATACCACAGTTTTTGTTACGACAAAAGTATGGAAACATTTCAGTTTTGCCGTATTTCTTCGTTCTGCGATATTTTGATATTGCGTGCGGTAAATATTAACATCAGTGAGAATGGCAAAAGTAAAAGAATTTTCAAAAGATTTAAGAGACAAAGTAATTGGATTATTTAGAAGTGGTGTCAGAAATGTTAACATTTCTCAAAGATTAAAAACGAACAACGGGACGATTCCGAAAATTATTAGTAAATATTAAGAATACGGATCAACAGCAACGCGGCCCAGGTGCGGAAGACCGAAAAAAACTGATTATGTTTTGGACGCTACATTAAACGTTTGTCCCATGAAGATTCTCGAATGCCAGCCACACTGATTTTCAAAAGAATCGTAAAAGAGGGTGCCGAGAATCTTTTTGTCAGAACAGTGCAGAGACGCTTGGTGGGTTTTGGGCTTTTTGGTAGGCGTCCAGAGCAAAAGCCTCTCATTTAAATTTTTATGGGGCGATAAAAGCAAGTTTAACTTGGTTGGATCTGACGGTTCGGCATATGTGAGACGTCCAATAACGACAAAAAGTATCAGTTTACAACAGTTAAGCACGGTGGAGGCAACATCATGGTTTGGGGTTGTTTTTCTAGTTCTGGAACGAGTTGAGAAAATGGATCAATAACTTCAAAAAGATATTCTTAGTGAACACATGTTCTAAAAACTAAAAAATGTTAATGTTCTTACATGGCCTTCGCAATCCCCGGACCTAAACCCTATAGAACATCTCTGGAACGTTAAAAGACAACTGACAAGAAAGACTTTTTAAAATAGCAACAATTACGTGATTATGTAAAAAATATTTGACTAAATATCCCAACAGACGTCTGTAAAAAATTGGTGTCTTCTATGAGCAGCAAATGTCAGGCAGTGTTGAATGCTAAAGGCTATGCTACCAAATATTAGCTAGACAGTATTTTTAAATCTTTTTGTAGTTATTGTATACTAAGTGACATATAAATCCGAACACCCAGTTTAAATGGTTTTATTTTAATAAAAGTTGGTGAATGTATTTATCTTACTGTAAATAACAACTGAAAAAATTTTCAGCCTTATCAGTTGGACATTCCGGTTTTTATACTGCTTTTTTTAATTCACTAACGCTCTAAAAATGAATATTTCAGCCGCAGTAAAAAATCAACGTTGGCGGATTTTGGTTCTTGACATCCTTTACGATCGGTTACGATGCCTAGAGTACGGAGACCTGTACGATTTCGTCAACTTAGTGAGTTTGATAGGGGCCGTATAGTGGGACTTCGGGAAGCTGGACTTTCTTTTCGGGCAATTGCAGTTAGAGTGCAAAGAAGTGTAGACACTGTGGTTAGGTGTTGTCAGGCATGGCTTCGAGAAGGCCGTACGCAAAGAGCAAGGGCCACTGGACGCCGCCGTAGAACAACAGACCGTGAAGATCGCCGCCTAAGATTATTGGCCTTAAGGGACCGTTTCTCCACTACCAGGTCCATTGCAAATGAATGGTTTGCAGAACACGGAAGACCTATTGGCATGCGAAGTGTTTACCGACGAATGAGAAGTTTTGGCTTGTTTTCATACTGGCCACACTGGGTCCTCCTTTTAACTCGAGAACACCGACGTAATCGCCTTGAGTGGTGCAGACAACGGTCACTCTGGGATCAGGAATGGAACAGTAATGTCTTTAGTGACGAGTCTCGATTTTGTTTAGGCATGCACGACAGTTTTTTGTTGAAAGACATGTTCATCACACTGTTGGAGTTATGGTTTGGGGTGCTATAGCTTATGGTTCCAGGTCACCTTTAATCTTCATCAGAGGTAACATGAACGCGCAGCGTTATATCCACGAAGTTCTAGAACCCCATCTTTTACCCTATCTTGACACCCTGGCAGATCCAACTTTCCAACAAGATAATGCCCGACCACATGTTGCAAGAGTCACAATAGACTTCTTTCATCATAATGATGTCACATTGTTACCATGGCCACCAAGATCTCCCGACTTATCCCCAATTGAGCACGTGTGGGATATGATGGGTAAGAGATTGCTCAATTTGCAACGTCCTCCTCAGACTCTAGAAGCACTTCGAGAGGAGTTGGTGGTTGCCTGGAATGAGATACCACAGGAGGACATTGACCACCTGATCAGAAGCATGCCTAGGCGCGTTGGAGAATGCGTAGCACATCAGGGTGCATCCACACATTATTAAAGGTCAAAGGGCTTTAAAGCAGTGCAATCATTTTGAAAATTTTATCATTTACTTATTATGTTTCATTAAGTACTTATACAAAATTTTATTAAAATAAAACCATTTAAACTGGGTGTTCGGATTTATATGTCACTTAGTATATTTAATTGTGAAATGTTTCCATACTTTTGTCGTCTCATTTTTGGTCATAAAGTAATATTAGATGTAGTACCACAGCAAACACAAATTGTCATTTGTATCCTCACGACCTTAAGCAAACTATATGATAAAAAAATACTCCTTAATAATAAAGAATAAAAAATTAGCGCACTTTTTAAAAATTACTAATGATGATTCCAAATGTTTGTCCGCTACTGTACTCAGATAAGAGTCACTAAAGAGAGATCACAGGTTTAAGATAGCCTTGTATGGCATTTTTTGATTTATCCTTGACACATTATAATAAATAGACATATTTTTTAGATACATGTCATGAGTTTCTGTTGCTCTTATCTGTAATCTAATGCTAGCTGCTACAAACCTTATTGAGTTGTGTTTCATCCGTGATTCTGCTTGCAACTAAGTCTAACAGAGAAGGTAGAGCTCTCATGGTTCCATACCTACAAGTTAAATTATAAATGCAGTGGAATCCACTTATAATGGACTTGGTTATATTGGAAACCCGTATACAGGGTGTTCCATAATTATTGCGACAAAATGATAGGGGTTATAGAGGGCATAAAAATATGCAATTTTGCCTTATAAACCCCTGTTCGTAAATATGCCGTTTGAGCACTACCGCTAATTTTACCTTAAGAGCTCATAGGAGAAACAAAAAATTCACCAGCTGCAAAATGTTCGTCTAGCACATTTCATGGTCTCGCCGGTTTGTAAAAAAAGCCTGCTGTGTTTACATTTTTGTTATCGTACACCCGTACCACCTTTTAAAAGTCCAAGCCATGCGTCCATCAGACTATCTGCCGCGTCGACGTTTTTGTCGTTGGTGGCTGCAGCAGGAGTTGAGGCAACCAAACTTTGGTCGCTACGTTTTGTTCACTGACGAGTCCTGTTTTACAAAGGACGGTTATTTTAATAGCCGTAACAGTCACATTTGGGATGAAGAAAACCCTCATGCCATAGCCATCCATATAGACCAACATCAGTTTTCAATTAACATCTGGTGCGGCATTGTGGACGAGCATATCATCGGGCCATATCTGCTTCCACCACGTTTGGATGGGCATGCTTATGGTCGATCCTTACAGCATGTGCTACCGGAACTATTAGAAAATGTGCCACTGAATATAAGAGCCAACATGTGGTTTCAACACCATGTCGGTCCAGCCCACTTTTCTTTACAAGTGCGGCAGTATTTGGACGACAAATTTCCAAATAGGTGGATAGGCCGAGGTGGCCCTGTGCCTTCGCCTGCGCGGTCACTTGACCTGACCCCACTGGATTATTTTATCTGGAGCTATCTGAAAGCTTTAGTGTACGAAACTGCTGTTCCCAACCAACAAGAGCTACTGGGAAGAGTGATGGCCGCGTCCGCACATGTTCAGGACATACCGGGGGTATGCCACAGAGTTCGCCGATCATTGAACAATCGTGCACAGCTGTGTATTGAGCAAGGTGGAGGACACTTTGAGCAATTACTGTAGGTAAGCTGTTTCAAGAAACTGATCTTTTTTTTTTGCTGCAGCCCAAACGGCATATTTCCGAACAGGGGTTTATAAGGAAAAATTGTTCATTTTGATGCCCTCTACAACCCCTATCATTTTGTCGCAATAATTATGGAACACCCTGTATAATGGACACAGTTTAAGGTCCTATAAATAATTGCATGTAAAATCCTCAGATATTATAGACTCGCTTAAAATAGACCGTCGCTTTTAGCGGACTATTTTAATCCACTATAAGGCTGTATTTATTAGAGTTATAAACATGTCGAAAAGTGCGAAACGTGTCACAGTGTCAAATATTTAGAAAAACGGTGACAAAATTAAAAATGACTGGAAATCAAATAGTCAAAAGAAAAAAATGTGTCTATAGCTGCATCCCTAAGTCAATGATATGCTGTTTAAATGGTTTCAAGAAAAGCGTGCTAATTATTTTCCAATACGTGGACCTATGCTACAAATAAAGGCTGAAGAATTTGGGAAATTAATTTACTTACTTCAAATGTAGCTCCGGTTGGCTAGACAGGTTTAAGAAAAGACATAACATTGTTTTTGGAAAAATGTGTGTCGAGTCAGCTTCAGTTGACAAGAACGTATCAATGACTGGATTTCTCAAGTTTGGCCCGAAATATCCAGTGATTATTCAGATGATATTCAATGCAGATGAAACCGGGATTTTATAGAATGCTACCAGATAAAACTCATAAATTAAAAGGTGAAACTTGCAATGGAAAACTATCAATAACTGTTATGATTTGTGCTGATGCTTCTGGTACTGAAAAACGGAAACTATTGATAATAGGTAAGTGAATGAATAGAAATTCATGTTCTAATTTTTTTGATATTCAATTTAAGTGCTTCAAAGAATTTATGATAGAGAAATTTAAGAATCCCAGCTGTTTCAAAAATGTTAAAACAATTCCCGTCGATTATGTTAGAAATAATACAGCTTGGATGACTTCATCAATTTTTGAAGAATATTTAAAAAGTGGGACGCTGAACTTGTTAAGAAAAATCGTAAAATTTTGCTCTTGGTCGATAACTGCCCCGCTCATCCAAATATTTCACTTAATAACATCAACCTTCAATTTTCTCCACCCAGTGTGACATCAGTTCTTGCAACCAATGGACCAGCGTGTCATTTGGAGTCTCAAAGAACTGTATCGGGAACAATGTTGATAAAAATTATGGAGCTTCAAGAAGATGTTAACATTACCAAAGCTGTCACCATTTTAGATGCTATAAATTTGCTTACTATTGCATGGGAATTAGTTATTCCAGAAAATTTGTAATTGTTTTCGCCATGCTGGTATAGTGAGAAACATAACTGAAATAGTCAACGATTTTAATCCAGAAGATGAAATTCCATTAAGTGATTGATAGTTTACTGTATATAGACAAATTTTATGAGTATGTAAATGCTGACAATAATTTAAAGGCAACGCAGGAATTGTCAGACTTCAATTTGGTTAATGAAGGATCCGTTGATAACGAACAGGAAGACGAACTAGAAAACAACGATGAACAAGAGACAACTAAGGAGGCATTAGACTGCGTGAAAAGGTTGCAACGTTATTTTCAGCAACAAGAAGACAGTACAGCCAGACTAACGATCTAAATAATTATATACTAAGTGACATATAAATCCGAACACCCAGTTTAAATGGTTTTATTTTAATAAAAGTTGGTGAATGTATTTATCTTACTGTAAATAACAAGTGAAAAAAAATTTCAGCCTTATCAGTTGGACATTCCGGTTTTTATACTGCTTTTTTTTAATTCACTAACGCTCTAAAAATGAATATTTCAGCCGCAGTAAAGAATCAACGTTGGCGGATTTTGGTTCTTGACATCCTTTACGATCGGTTACGATGCCTAGAGTACGGAGACCTGTACGATTTCGTCAACTTAGTGAGTTTGATAGGGGCCGTATAGTGGGACTTCGGGAAGCTGGACTTTCTTTTCGGGCAATTGCAGTTAGAGTGCAAAGAAGTGTAGACACTGTGGTTAGGTATTGTCAGGCATGGCTTCGAGAAGGCCGTACGCAAAGAGCAAGGGGCACTGGACGCCGCCGTAGAACAACAGACCGTGAAGATCGCCGCCTAAGATTATTGGCCTTAAGGGACCGTTTCTCCACTACCAGGTCCATTGCAAATGAATGGTTTGCAGAACACGGAAGACCTATTGGCATGCGAAGTGTTTATCGACGAATGAGAAGTTTTGGCTTGTTTTCATACCGGCCACACTGGGTCCTCCCTTTAACTCGAGAACACCGACGTAATCGCCTTGAGTGGGGCAACAACGGTCACTCTGAGATCAGGAATGGAACAGTATTGTCTTCAGTGACGAGTCCTCGATTTTGTTTAGGCATGCACGATGGTCGTGCCAGGGTTAGAAGGGCGACGTGGTGAAAGGAGGAATCCACATTTTTTTGTTGAAAGACATGTTCATCACACTGTTGGAGTTATGGTTTGGGGTGCTATAGCTTATGGTTCCAGGTCACCTTTAATCTTATCAGAGGTAACATGAACGCGCAGCGTTATATCCACGAAGTTTCTAGAACCCCATCTTTTACCCTATCTTGACACCCTGGCAGATCCAACTTTCCAACAAGATAATGCCCGACCACATGTTGCAAGAGTCACAATAGACTTCTTTCAACATAATGATGTCACATTGTTACCATGGCCACCAAGATCTCCCGACTTATCCCCAATTGAGCACGTGTGGGATATGATGGGTAGGAGATTGCTCAATTTGCAACGTCCTCCTCAGACTCTAGAAGCACTTCGAGAGGAGTTGGTGGTTGCCTGGAATGAGATACCACAGGAGGACATTGACCACCTGATCAGAAGCATGCCTAGGCGCGTTGGAGAATGCGTAGCACATCAGGGTGCATCCACACATTATTAAAGGTCAAAGGGCTTTAAAACAGTGCAATCATTTTGAAATTTTTATCATTTACTTATTATGCTTCATTAAGTACTTATACAAAATTTTATTAAAATAAACCCATTTAAACTGGGTGTTCGGATTTATATGTCACTTAGTATACAAAAAAACAATCTCTTCAAATGAAAATTATTAGGTTTTACAAATAATTTTTTTACACATACCTACATAGTACGTTATGCCTGTAATATGTGTATTAGATTCTGACAAAATGCAAATTTCAAAGTTACGTATAACTTTTTTGTATGGATCTTTATTTATGTAACACATGTTAAAAAACACATTTTAAGCTTAATATGTTATTTCTGCCGCTTGTTTTTATTAAAAAAAGTGTTCTTTTTAAGATGGTCCATCCGCCTATAATAGACTATTTGTATTATTATTCAAGATTGGCCTATCATTATCATTAATTATCCATAGATAGAAACTAGAGAGAAGTGAAATTAACTTACTGGGCGTCAATTTCCTTTGGTGTTCATCAAAAGTTCACAGCGCTGTGTCAAAATTACTTGGATTCCCGTTCACTACGGATACTAAATACTGTTTGTCTGTCTGTCCGCCTGATCTCGGAATCAGTGACCGTCTTAGCAAATACCTGAAAAAAATGATCATTTGAAAAACTCTAATAGCAAGCCTAACATTTTATAAAGTGATAATCTGCTTCAATATTGGTGTAGTGTGCCAAGAGGTTCCCTGTGAAATGAAGACAAGACCGACCGCTTGAGGAATTGCTGTATCTTTTGAGCATCCCAGACCTTAAAGGAAAATAAACACCTTCTGAAAGACTGGTGCGTTGTGACGAAAGCATTCCATAAGAAGTCCC